CATCAGAACCAACCCAAACCAGCAAGAAACGCAGCGTTTTCTGCTGAGCAGGAATTTCTGTGCTGCTCCAAAGGCTCTCCACGAAAATCCCCGGCTGCATTCTGCCCGGCCGGAGCTCGTTCCCTCCGAGGTTACTCGAGACCAAACCCTAACAGAACTTGCACTCGAACGCAGCACAAATGACTCATTACAGACCTAAAAATAACCACGGAGAAATTTCCAACTAAAACGTTGCCTAATTAACCATGAATACTGAGAAGTGTGAGAGGAAAAAAAAAAAAAAAAAAAGCAATCCCCGAGTTGTTGTGGTGTTTTGCAAGCAAATTATTACTACTTTCTTCCTGGATGCACTCAATTATATAGGCAGAATGTTTCCATTTCCATCCTATATTATCAAGCCCACCTAGAAACAATAGAACAAATGTCCTTTCATGGCTATACAGAATGTATGTATCTTTTTAAAGCAAAGCTGAATGACTTTGACCTAGACAGAAAGCTCCAAAGTACTTTTCATGCCCCCCTTTGTATAGAGGACTATACATAATTCATCCCCAAACCACAATTCAGATTATTTCATGGTGCTCTTAACAAAAATGACAGAGACCTGAGGCACTGACTTTTCTACCAAATCCTCTTGCAAACAATTTTCAGGCAGTCCTGGTACAAAAACCTACGCATCTATGATTTTTCTATGAACTGGTAAAACCAATCTCTGTGTTCAAGCTGCAGTTTAAACATGCAGCTCAAAAGCCAAGATCCACTTTAATCTCTTTCTCAACCCTTAGATAAATGACTTTGTGACAAGACAGTGAAACTTTAGCCATGTTTTGTTCCAAAGCTCTGCAGATTTTGCTTTTCACATTTAAGGATCCACACTGGACCTAACACAAGACTCTTTCTTCTCCCCTCCAAGCCAGCTGGGTCCCTCACCCTTAAAAAAAAAAAAAAAAAAAGAGAAGTATCCTGAGACTAAGCAGCCCTATTAATGCTATAAATGTGCTGAAGTTCCCTTTTTCTGGCTTTGCCAGTCCGTCTTAGCCTCACAACAACTTCCTCCAGGAGTCCTGGGGCTTTCTGAAATCGTGAAACTCGCTCACCCACAGGAAATCCCCAGGATATGCTTGAACATAGCCTGGACTCAAAGACTGAGACACATTTTCAGTTCTTGAAGATCTTTAACCTCACAAGTCACTCAAAATTCTCTTTCCTTCAAAACTGAAGGAATAGTTGTTTCTACCTGTTAACCAACTCCCTAAAAGCTTTACAGGGAAAATGCCAAAGCCAACTGAGACCTTCTGCAACTTCTTTAACCTCTTCCAAATTCCCATATTGGCAACAGCTCCTACTTTATGGAATGGGTCAGATAGAGCTGCTTTGATCAAGGACTGACCTGCCATACTCCTTCCCTGTTAATCCCACTGACCTCAGGGGAAATTACACCAGGAATTAATCAGCTCCAAAGTCACAACAATCTCTGCTATGAGTTTGATAAAACCTCATAACGAGAGCATCATTTATTACATAAACCTTAAAATCAAAATGCTCCTCCTTATATTTAAAGATAAAATGATATTTAAGAGTTTAATTAAGCAGTTTAAAGCTGAGACAAAAATCAATGAAAAATTCCAATTTGAAATCTACTGTGGCTTATTTAGCTTCTTTGTTGTTGACAAGCAATGCAAATTCATCTTTCTTTGGGCTTTTAATGAAAAGTAAAAGACATGACATACCATGAGTTGCATTGTCTGAACAATCAAGCTTAGTACAGAACACAATGGCAGCACTACTAATTATTCCTCCTTCTGCTAATTTAGAGCCTAACCTTAACATTACTTTGCAATGGCATTTTTACTGAAGGGAATTGCTCTTCAGTTGAATTCCTGTCCAACATGCTGGCACAAATTGTCTTTGTAAGGAAACTGTACTTCTGCCTTTGTGATCCAACGCTCTTGAAAGGTTTTAACTAATTCATTACAGTTATAGAGAGTGATGTAGAAATAGTTGATTTTCTTTTTCAAGCACCATTTCAGAATAGAAACACCATTAATTTAAAAGGCACATTTTTGAAACAGCATCCCTTATCTCCTCTTACCACAACCAGCACCCAAGAACAGTGTGAACTGAGAGATATCTCCTTTCTTTTTTTTCCCAGTATGTTTTCTGCTACTCTTCTCATGAAAAGTGAATTAAAATATTTCACATTACAGCAATGAGAGAGACTTTTAGCACAGGGAATCCACAAGGAGTGCTGAACTGCAGCAACCACCAGTGTTTGGAGGCACAATATTCCCCTTCTCTTGGGCACTGCAAAGTCCCAGTTTCCCACTGGAACAGAAACCAGTATAAGGTATTCAGAATAGTTTTATATGTAATGCACTCAGCTACAAATCCGTGTGGTTTCAACAGACATATCCCAAATTACACACAATAAAACTTCTACTTGCAGAACCACTAAAACAAATCAAAGAATCTGAACTGTTTGGTTCCTACCTCCTATTTAGGCAATTTGGGTTTCTATTTCCCTAATGGAAAATCTTTTCTGTTAAAACCAATATATTGAGCCAGTCCCTGGAGGAGGGAACGTGGCTGGGAGGAAAGTTTGGTTCCAGAAGGTTTCTATAATCTGACCAGCAGCTCACTGAAACAATGAAGAGACCTCTGGAGGTCACCTGGCCCAGCCTTCTGCTCAAAGCAACACAATGCCCAGCTCAGCCATGTGTGCAACACTCCCCTGTGATGGAGAAAGCCCCACTGTGCCTGGGTGACACGTCCCAGTGCACCTGGGGAACAGGTATTTATTATTTCCTAACCCACCCAAACTGCAATGTGTGCCTATGGGCTCTTGTTATTTATCATCTGCCACTATTGGCAGGAGCAGCCCAGACTCCTCAGCTGCTCTTTGTAGGTCCCCTGGACCATTTTTCACCCTTTTGTCAGACCCTTCCCAGCTTCCCAGTGTCTCTGTTGAGAGATATGAAGCACCCAAAACTGGTACAATATTGCAGCTGTGCTCTCACTGGGGAGAGAAGGATTAGGACTTGCCTGCAGCTGGGAATGGCCTCAGTCACACGATGTGATTCACCTTCCTGGCTGTGAGAGCACTCTTTGGCTCACAGGCACTTGGCACTGAGTGCAGCCCTCCCCAGCCTGTTTCAGGTCCTTGGCAAGCAGAGAGAGCCAAGCCCAGCTGGCAGACAGCAGCTCAGCCACTCTGAGCCTGTCCTTGGTGGTCCCAGGAACAACACAAGGTGTGAGACCAGGTGAGGAGGATCTGAGCCCCTCCCCACAGACAGCCAGGAAAGTTCAGTCTCCTCTTTCAAATCCAAATGCAGTGACACAGTCACAGCCATACCCCAGAGATAAATACCTCCACAGGTCATTTTCAGCTGCAGGACGTTTTGCCAGGACATTGTTTTGTTCAAGCCAAGTCACCCAGGCATGTCAAAAAATCTGAGCCGAGGTTTTGGGTACAGGACCCTTCAATCACTTCTGGCCAGTGAGAAAGAGATTCAGTTAGAAATCTTAAGCTTTTAAATCTTAAATGAGACATTTTGGCATAGCTCCATTTTTTGGAGGACAAAAAACCTTCAATGTTTTGTGCTCATTCTGATAAGATAAAGAATAATTTTGAATGTACCAAAGTTGCTGCCAAACCAAGTTGTTCTCCTATGGACAATGTAGCTCCATGCAATTTTAGCAAATAATTAAAGAAGGCCAGTGGGTCTATATACAGTTTTGATGTTGAAAAACCCATTAAAGCATGAAATCTGCAGATCTTTCAACAAATGAATAATTGTATGCACAGCCTGTCCACATACAGTAGCACTTTCATGGCAACAGCTCCAGTGCTTTTCATACCACACATTTTTAGACTATTGAAGCCTTGGTGTTGTGATAATGACACAATTTACAGACAGCAGCCAAGTACTTTGTGAAACAATTTCAAGTGGAACTTTTAAACCAGTGGATTTATAGTTTCAGGGCCAGTGTAGGTATCAAGTATGGCTCAGGTGAGGGCTGCACTGGCAGGGCCTTATCTCTTAAAAGAACTAAAGCACACAACCACAGCAATTTGCATTATTGGGAGAGAATTCCTCAAGGAAGGGCAATTATGTCATTTAGCACACAAAATTCTCCTGAAGATTTCAATATTTTCTCTTGGGCATACTTCTTTTCGCTGGCACGAATTTACTGCACGACCTAGTTTTCCTTTCAGAGAGGACTAGTCACACACAACCAAAAAGAAAAAAAAAAACAGAAAACTCTCTAGGAAACACACAATTACACAAAGCAAATGCAGGCATGAAAGGAATTGATGCCAAGCAGAGGAGAAAGGACAGAATCACCTTTTAGAACTGGAATCAACCAAGAACCTATAAAGAAGAGAGCTGGATAATCCCTTCTTCCTCCCAACACTTGTCTTCCTTGAGAAGTGCCCAATATCTATCATTTTGGTACACCCTGTGTTGCAGGCTGTGAACTCTCTGCAGTGTGTATCAGCAAAGGAGCTCCCCAGAGACCATCCTGGTCCTTGGCTGAACCTCAGGATTCAGTCCCAGCAAGAGCCACTGATTTCATCAATGAAATTATAAGCCTAGAGAGACCCATCTAAGCTGTAGAGACCTAGAGCTAACAGCATTTATTTCCAAACACAGCCTTTAAAGAAAACAGTTTTTATCCTGGTGTCTAATTCCTTCTGAAATTCTGAGCTACTCGCTGTTCTGAAAGAGTAGAGAAAAAAACAACCATTTCATAAAACAGCCAATTGCAGGAGTAAAAAACAAAGCCTCCTCACTTCCCCCACCCCCATCTTTAAACTCCTGCGTGCTCTACCCACCCTCAACAATAAATTGTAGACAGGCAAGATCACAGGACAGATATTTGGCAGCACAACAATACTATATTTACTTCAGATACTTAAGAATTGGGAGGCAGAAATAAGCAGTTGTATGAACTGCTGCATCTACAGCCTCTTGTGGGTGAAACCTTGTTTTCCTCACCTTTCTTTCTCCACCATGGCCCCTCCTGGATAGAGTAGGACAGTTCTTTAAACTCAATGTTCACAGCTGGCCTGCGGGGCAGGTAGGAGAACCTGTGAGCTTCTGTCAGAGCATTGTCCACTTTTTTTAAGTGTCCATTCATGAGTCGGATGTCCTGGATGTCTGTGCCATTGGAGACCACCTCATCCACCGAGACACACACAGACTTTGGCTCGGCCATGGTGCAACCAGAGCTGCTGCCACCCTGCAGGGAAAGTGGAGGAAGTTCACAGACTTTTGTTTAGGAGCACGTTTCAAAACCTTCTGTGCATCAGAGGAATTATTCTTTAAATAGCACAAAATATCCGGCACTGTAATGCGCTGCAAGGTGAAAGAGGAGTAAAATAAAGCAATCTTTTGTTTGTTCTCTTGCCTGAGCCTTGACAGAAGAGGTAAAAGAGCCCTTGCAGCACACACAGTTCCTTCAGCACTAGTTTTTCTTTCAGATCTTCCACCAGATTAATACATTTATAAGTTCAGTCCCCATTGTATTTGGTTTCTCATGCACTCAAGGAATTTGGTTCTAGTTACTGATTCCAGGGCTTGGGACAGAGCTGCAGGGGGAAGGGAGCTGGCTGAACAATTATCTGTGCAGACATTTCAAAAGCAACCACTCCAATTGTCTAAGAGCTCTTGTTCCTCTGGATCAGCCTATGCTTCTGTAAAGTTGAAATTATATTTCTGAGCATTTTCAAATGTGCTATTTCATGCCTTATTTTCTCATGCACTGATAGTTCTGGAGACTTTGCAACCTGAGATGACAAGTTCTTTTCTAGAAGTCTTTTAGGAAAGCACAATGCTTTGCACCCAAAATCCTTGAGTGCTTTCCATGCTTGATAGTGATAACTAATGGAAATTTTATCAGCTACATAAACACACAAACCCTGCTCCAGTTCTTGCACCACTGACACTGTGAGGTCAATGTCCTGTGCTCACAGCCATCCCTCTTGCTACTTTGCCTATCACAGCACTCAGTGTAATTCCACTTGGCACTTCTTAGACTAAATCTCCTTCCCCTCCTCTCCTGACCATGACAATGGCCTTCCACCCACCTTTCTCTTCTTTTTCATTTTTTTAATTATGTATGCAAAATCTGAATTTTTTCCATTCCTTTTACCAGCACAGGCATCACGCACCAATATGAGCAGGATGTGTGTAAGCTCAAAAGAAAAACAGTCATGAATTTTCTTCAGCTAAACAGAATTTTGAACACTTCAGAGGCTGCTAGCTGTCATCTGTTGTTTGGTGGATGTCATAAGCAGAGCCAAACATCTGCACAGTTGTCTATTAGGAAATTTAGAGTTTTTAATGCAGATTTGAATTGGAAAGGACTTCTGCAGATGGCTTATGTGCCAGGCTTTCCATGCTGACACATCTGCCCAACAATCTACAAAGTTATCTCTTGGAAAGCAGATGTTCTGCACTACTTTTCAATGCATGAACACAGAGATGCAGGTCCTGCCACTGTTTCCCTCTATTTGTCTAATTCAACTAAGAAGTGGCATTGCCTCCTCGCCCCTGTGCCAATTCCATTTCCTTCTCATGGTTGCTGGTCTTCCCATCTTTGCTGTAAAAGCACCCCAGCTCAGATCAGTTATTTGTCACAAATGTTGAAAAAAACATTAAAAGAACCTCCAGTCCTACATAAACACTGAGGAAAAAAAAGGTACTCCTGCATAACCACTCCATAGCTGGCATTTTCACATTCTTCATGCACAAGCCCCAAGTTCTAGATGAAAAAAATCAGCTCTGCTCACCACATTTTCTCAAGAAAGAGATTTTAATCGTGCTCTCAACTTACTTAGAGGTCAGGTATCCAGTAACACTTACTGTCAAATTCTTAAATAGTTGACTGCCATGGTATGTAATTTGAACATAACAAGAGTAATGTGAAACATCTTAGAGTTCAACAATTAAATCAGGGGAACTTCCCTAAAAGCTAAGAGAAGGCGAGTTAACAATGTCCTTCCTTGAATGTTTTCAAGGCTGGCTTTGGCACTCATGATCTGTTTTGTTCTGAGGAACCACTGAGCACCTTCACACAATCAGAGGGAATATCCAAAAACAAACTCTCAATGAGCAGGTCACCTTGATTATTCAAGTGACAGAGCTTCTCCAGTTCAGATCGATTCAAAAAGAAATATCCTTTGGACAAGACCTCTGACTACTCACTCATCTGAGAGTATGAAGCCAAAGACTTTTGTTGCTGGACATTAAACAGTTTCAGTCACTCTGTGGAGCGAACTGCCTGTTCACACACCTGCCTCCTCCAGGGACCACCTGCGATGGGTGAGCATCCCCCCGAGCTACTGGGATGGTGCAAACGCCTCCCGGTCTTGGCATCACCTTCGCTTGGAAAAAGCTGGGCGATCCCGTGGCTACGAGACTGAGCCGAGCCGCGTGTAAGGCACAGACACACCTGAAGCCCCTCTGTACCTCCAACACCTGCAGCGCTCTCTGCTCCCCGCTGTCACCCCCCAGCGATGCCCCAGCCCCGCACCCAGCCCTGCGATCCGGGCACGGCGAGCGCCGCTCCGCAGGACCGCGCTCACCTCTCCGCTGTTTTTGGACAGTTTGGGCTCTTTCCCATGCAGTTTGCTGGAGCCGGAGAGGAGCCGGGCCGCTCCCGGCGCCCGGCGGGGAGGCAGCGCTCGCCCGGTCGGAGCGGCAGGAGGGTCCCGGGGGCTCTGCCCGCTCCGTCCCCCGCCGGCCCCGGGTGTTATGCAAAGGTTACGGTCCCTCCGCAAATCCTCTGGGAAGCCGGCGGGCCGCAGCGGCGCAGGGAGCATGCTCGGCGATAATCCCCCCGCCTTGGCTACAGGCAGAGGTAACCAGCGGTCAAGTCCCGCCGTGCGCCGCCGGCCGCTCGCACACTTCGCATCCTTCATCCCGCATCCTGCATCCCGCAGCTCGCATCCCTCAGCCCCCATCCTGCACCCTCCGACCCTGCTTTTCCCTCGGGAAGCGTTTCTGGAGCTCCCCGCGCAGCCCTGGATCCATCCCCATCGCCCAGCCCCGCACCTCGCCCCCCGCCCGGCGCTCGCCGGAGGGAAGGCAGGGCACGCCTTACCAAAGAGCTGCCCATGGAGAAAGCCGCCATCAGACATGCCATGGGCACCGCTGCCCGCCCGGCTGCTGGCGGAGGAGCCTCCAGTGCCGCCTCTCCGCCCCGACCGGCTGCGGGAGGCGGGCGGGCAGGGATGGAGCTGGGGCCGCCCCCGTCCCGGCCCGCCCCCGCCGGGGATGGGGATGGGGATGGGGATGGGGAGAGCTCCGGATTCGGAGCACCTCTCGGCGCTGGGGAAGGTGGGCAGTGCGTTCCCAGCCCGCTGCTGGCCATGGCTGTGGCTCTGCCCAAACATGTGGCAGACGCTTGTCCCGGGCACTGGGGCACCCAAGGTCGCTCGACGGGACAAAATGAGGAGGGCAGCTAGCATTGTCCCCAGACTCTGGGCAGGGACAGGCTTCCTGATGGGCTCCTGGAGGCATTCCCTGACAAAATAAGGAGGGCAGCCAGCATTGTCCCCACGCTCCGGGCAGGGACAAGGTTCCTGATGTGCTCCCGAAGGCATTCCCTGAGGAAACGGGGAGCAGAAGCACCATCCAATATCGCCTTGTGTCATGCCGTCCTCATGAGGACGAGACAGCTCTTCTGGCCCTGGAATTCCTAGCCACTGATTTATGAGCAAGCCATTGTAGTTTAGGAATGGAGAAGAAGGAAAGTTGTCACTGAGTTATTCTCTGTTCATCTACTCCTCTCACCAAAGACCTCCATTTCAGCGAGGTCACACAATCACTCAATCACAGGATGGTCAGGCTGAAAGGGACAACAGTGGGTCACCAGGTCCAACCCCCCTGCTCCAGTAGTGTCATCCCAGAGCACACGGCACAGGATTGTGTCCAGATGGTTCTGGAATATCTCCAGTGAGGGACACTCCACACCCTCTCTGGACAATCTGTCCCAGTGCTCAGTCACTGCTGAGGAAAGAAGTTCTTCCTCATGTTCTGCTGGAACTTCCTGGGCATCATTTCTGCACATTCCTCTCATCCCACGCTGGGCACCACGGAGCAGGGCGTGGTTCATCCTCTGACACCGCTCTTCAGACCCCGAGGTCCTGCACATGAAGGGCAGTGCGTGGTGTTCCCGTGGCATTAGGGCTCTGTTGGCACTGCTGGCTTGAGTCTGGATCTGTGACTGGGCTAGGAGCTGGATTCATTGTCTGTGCTGCCTGGGGACAGAAAGCTCTGCCCAACCAGTTTGCCAAGAAGCCAGATGCTGAAAAAGCCACCAGCCATCTGAGTGCTCCCATTCTTGCTGGGACTGTTTAAGGTGTGTGCAGAGGCTCCCTCTCACTTCCTCTGGAAGCAGCAGGAAGTGGGGATAAAATACAGCAGGGGTCTGAGAACTGGTTTCAAAGCAACAACCAAACATGACACACAGGAGTTCATCATCTGAGAGGAATCTTCTAATTGGGGAGCTTCCCAGAGTGGCTGGAACTCGTGTAGCATTGTCCAGACACGGGATAAGCCTCACAAAGCCCCTGGCAGGCAGGTAAGTATTTGATCCCTGCAGAGCTGGGATGGATGTTTCCCACGGGCAGCACAGGGAGGGAACTGCTGCCCAGAACATCTGTGCCAGGTCAGACGGGGTCCCTGCCCTGCAGGATCCTCCCTCCTGACAGTGGCTGCGAGATGGATGCATAAACAAGTGCTTCAGCACAGGGCTGGCTTCTATCTAATGTCTCCCTGGTGCTCCCCCAGCCCACAGCTGTTCTTGGCTCGAGGATTTCCTCCAGAATGTGTTAATAACCCTCAGTGGGAATCTCTTCCATGAAGGAACACTCCCCCTTGGGAACATGCAAAATTTGCTATCCACTGCAACCCATTGGCAAGGAAGTGTGGAGACTCTCTAAGCTCAGCCTTGGAGTCAGTCTTAGATATTGCAGGAAGTTATTTACTTATAAGTCATTTATTGGGGAAGAAATATCTACCTGCTGTGGAATATCACTCAAACATGGATGGGCCCATCCAGAAGTCCTCACTGAAGGCTTAAACTGTGTTTGAGTAGACATTTTAAAGATAATTATCACCTAATATTAAGAATAAAGAGAATTTATGATGCATTCTTCCAGTGAGGATCCCAGGGTTTTAGTTAACTTGACTTGGAGCGTGTGTGTGTGTAGCACCCAGAATTTATTCAAGCTTATCTCTTGTATTTTCCCTTAGAACATTGCAAAAGCTGAATTATCTCCATACAGGAGCTGAAAAGGGCTGTGAAATAATGATGTGTTAGTTTAAGGCATTTACAGGGTAAAAAAAAATTACTTTAAAACATCATTATTTTAACTGTGAGGTGGAAGTAGAGAGAGAGGAAACCATACCCCGATCCTAGTGAATGTGTGATACAGACCCAGCACGATGTGTGCTATCCTGTATTAACTTCCTAAAGGCTAAAAGAGAAGCAAGGAAAGCAACATAAAAGCTGTAGCAGAACTGAAATGTACAGTCCTGAAATCTGCTGCACAAACCAAGTTTCAGTTCTGTCCAGAAGTTTGTGGTACCAAGGTGCTGCCTTCCATCAGAATTTTCCTTGAGCAAGTGTACATGACCAGCTCCCCAGGATTTATTTTTATCATGGTGGCTGCAGTATCAGTATCTACAGGGGCTTCTTTTAAAACACTGAGACATAAAACAGGTTTATCAGAAACCAAGTTCTACTTGGTATTTTGGTATCTATTTTGATACCACACAGCGAAAAAAAAAATATTACATAAGATGAAGCATGCTAAAAATAGCAGTCTCCTGCATTCCTACATTCCCTCATTAACTCTTCCATTAACTTTACCGGTGATCCCCTGGTCCCTGCAGGCAAAAAAAAATCAAGAACACAGAAGTCTGTGTGAAGGGAAAAAAAAAAAAAAAAAAAAAAAGGAGAGATATAAAATGGTGTTTAAAAAAATCCAGGACAAAAAAAAAGTTACAAATGAAGGTGAGGACAGGCAGGCAGGGACAAAAGCCTGATTCCTAAAATAGATGAGGAAATAGTAGTAGCTTCCAGGCTTTACAGCAGGATAAGCATTACAGACACTAGACTGGTGCAGAAAGAAAAAGAACATTGTAAGCGGAAATGCACTGGGAAGGGCAGGGGAAAGTGGAAATGCAGTGATGGCAAGAGAGGGCAGATGCTCAGCAGAGCCACGGGAGGCGTTTTAGTGCAGCACTGCTGGCTCTGGTGTCCCTGCAAGAACTAGTTCATGTACAGAAGTGCTACAGCCTCGGGAAATGCAAAGGCCACTGTGGGCTTCAGTGCTGGGATATAACACGTGGGAAAAGTCCAACGAGAAGTGTGCAGGAGGCAGATGGGGAGAAGAAAGTTAGAACCGTAAAAGGCAAAATATTTGAGATGGAATTTTCAATAAAAATGTTTCAGGATAAATCTTCCTAAAGAGTCAAGCTGAGAGCAAAAACGAACTGTCCACTGTGAAACACTCGTGCAATATTTTGCTGGAACAAAACTCCAACAAAACAGTTTGTCGTGGACAGAGGATCATTTTGCCATTTGAAAACACATACTGGTTTGGATCTCTTCTGGAGTATATTTCCTGTCTTCTTATGCCCTGCCTCAGTTATTCCTGTAGGTTTATTTACACCTTTTATTTATATATAGGGAAATGAAAAAAAAAGCAAGAGCGCTCGTGGCTCTTGCAAATTATTTTTATAGGGGAATAAAAACACAGGTCTGAACAGCTGAAAGATGAAATTGAGGGAAAAAAATATGGATTGCTTCTGAGCTCCTGGGTTTCTGGCAGCTCATAGCTGTGAGTCTGCACTGGAGAAAAAGGGACAAGAGGAAAGGAAAGCACAGGGAAGGGGGTAAAAAATCAGTTCAGTGGAAGGGAATGATTAACTTTAACAAAAAGGGAGATTTGTTCCCCCGAGTCCGAATTACTGATCAGAGGTGCCAATCAAATGTGCAGGAATTATTTGTTCTCTCAAGTCCGAATTACTTGTAACGGGTACCAATGAAACGCGCAGGTTCTGCCTGCCAATGAAATGTGCAGGAACTGCCTCTGACTTCAGTGTCTTGTCTTGCGCTCAGACAGAACAGCCAGGTTTCTTCGCAGTCCTGCGTTACTGACATTCTACGGAAATCGTCAGGTCAAGCATCCACGGGCACGCTGGTCTGCGCTGCGCCGGCACGAACGATGGAGCTGAGCTCGGCGCGTTCAGCTGATGTTGCGCTCCCTCCGCAGCAGGCGATGTTCAGGCTGATGATGGGGTTGATGTTGACAGAACGAACCGCGGCCGACGGGCCGCTCTGCTGGGACTGGCGTGTCCACCCGGAGCAGGCACCGAGGATTGCTGCTGTCCCTTCTACGACGCGCACGATGCCGCGCCCCAAGCGATGCCAGAGCTTGGGGCGGTCCTGGCCCGGCCCCGCGGCTGGAGGGGACTCGGGCTCCGGTACAGCCAGCATGGTGGTGGTGCTCGCAGTCGGTGCCTGCTGGGCTCGAACACGGGGACTCGGGGTTGGAAGCGCAGCACCCAACTCGCTGAACCAAACGTTGGGGCAGCTCCTCCCCTCTGCGCTTGGCTGGTGATTCCTGCGGTCCCGCCTCTCCTTGAGCTTTGTACTGCTGGGATGCTCCCCAGTGTCCTGTCTGTGCTGGGATTCCCGCTTTGCTGGGATGTTTCTCCAGTGTCCTGTCTCTGTGATTTCTACTTTGCTGGGATGTTCCCCAGGGTCCTGTCTGTACTGTGATTCTCACTTTACTGGGATTTTCCCCAGTGTCTGTGCCATGATTCCCACTTTGGTGGGATTTTCCCCAGGGTCCTGTCCATGTCATGATTCCCACGGTGGTGGGATGTTCCCAGTATGCTCTGTCTCCTGTAATTCCCACTTTGCTGGCATGTTCCCCAATGTCCTTTGTGTGCCATGATTCCCACTTTGCTGGGATGTTCCGCAGTGTCCCAGCTCTCCGGGCAGCACAGCCCTGCCAGGCTGGCTGTGCTCCAGCTGCAGGACAAGACAAGCGTGCCATGCAGGTCCCTGCCGTGCCAGGGCCTCGGGCAGCTCCCACAGGAGCCGTGGGAAGGGGACAGAGCAGTCCAGGCTGGAGCAGCTTTCCTGCTGCCA